TCTGGATTGCTGTTTTTACTAGTTTGGTTTATGTTGAAGATTGCAAAACTGTTCTTGAGTGTATAAATTTACCATGTGACAAAGACTTTTTGTTGCCATGAATTTCGAATGGTCTATCAATCGAAAACTAAGTGGAGTTTTAACAGTTTTTATCTGGTGAAGTTCAACAGGTCAAATTGTGTACAGTATTATCAAAAAATATTTATGTTAATGCTTCTTAGTATTGCTTAATTATCACTTGAGTATAGCTTTTGAAAATCCTGATGAAAATCTCTTCATTGTTAAAATTTCTATTGCAAGATACCCTACCAACTTGAGAGAAGTTTTCATTTCCTTGAAGAACAACGGGAAGCTTGATGGGCTACTGTCCCAGGTCCTTTTTTCATCGTTTTTTTCTTTCATTACATGAGTTGTTTTTAAACCCAAACATGCATTTGTGATTATTCTTTTTTTTTTTTCCAGAGGCACAAATGCCAAATATGTTATGGTTTGTTGGATAGTAATTATCTGCTCTAATGGTGTTACTGTGCTGCAGGGTAAAGAGTATATTCTTGTGGTGCAGCCCGATGACCTTGGCAATTTGGCAGATCCAAGTATTCTTCTCCTTAACAGCATTCAATTACTTTATGTGCACACCGTAACGAATTAATGTTGATTTTTTTTAAATCTTATATATGTAGAAATCCTAAGTCATCTGGTTAGGAACAACATCCAATACTGTGTTGAGGTACGAACAGAAGAACTTCTGTAGATTTGGTTCTTCACTTGACTACTGCATCTAACTCTTTGTGATATCTCAGGTGTTACCTACCTCTTCTGGTTTGGAAAATTCTGAGCTTTTGGCTCAAGAACAAAGAATCAAGGTTTGTTTTGACTGCAGATCTAGTAACATCGTGCTCTTTTATGTTTCACTGGGCATGAGTTTATCAATTGTGCTTCAAAGCCAATTGTGCATCGTGTTTGAAAAATGTCAGAGCACCATCAGTAAAATATACTCCATGTCTATTTATTTCTTCTTTTACCAAATTTGTGTGTTTCTTTTCACCTGTTTTTTATGGAATCTATGCACACAAAAATCTCGAATTTCACCCTATTATACTAATGCCCACACCACTTGGGATTAAAGTTTTATTGTTGTTGAATTTTACCCTATCGCAAACAAGCTGTTTATTTACTATCCAAAACTTAATAGAACGTAAGAAGTAACAACAAACCCAGTAGAATCCCACAAGTAGGGTTTGGGGAGGGTGTACGTATGTAGACTTTACCTCTACTATGAAGTAGAGGGGTTATTTCCAATGAACCCCTAAGTACAAACAAAGAAGCTACTGAAGCAAGCACGATGTACGCACAATTTCTAAAAAAGGAAACAGACTCTAAGAACTAAAGCACAAATACACATTACAGACTAAGGCAAAAAACACAACTAATAAAAAACACTTGCAAAAATTACTAGGGCTCTCAAGTCTGCCCAACTACTCTAATCATATATATCGAGATGTTCGTATCTAAGCGTAAGAAGTAAATGAAGTTACATGGTCCCAATAGTGGCTACTACATGGTTGTAATTCTAGGCACTTTACTTGTTCTAGCATTGACTATATTCTGAAGTTAGAAAATGTATAATCAGATTATCACCACATGTCTAAAAATAAATGTATAAAACTATTCTTTAGAATTTACTTTCTGTGTTTTTAAATTGTGTTTTTAAATTATTAGTTAAACTATACTGATTACTATGCACCGCTTCTGAGTGCGAGTACCCAATCTCTTTGTAATTTATTAGTGGTTGTGCTATTCTCTTTGTAATTGTAAGTGGTTAGAGACTAAAAGAAATCTGAGAATGTTATTGTTTGCAGAAAATTCACGGGTAGTCTGATAGATTTAAATGTTATCTTCTGATCTTAAACACTTCATGAAATTGCAACAGTATAACATGATTTCTTACCATTCAACTTGAAAAAATCTTGAATGCCACTTCATTTTTTTTCCTAGAGAAAAAATATTTGCTGATTGTTTTTTTCTTTTGTTTCTCTGATGTGATCACTAACACTAATGCACATAATCTTTTTTTATATTTTAATGCAGGCGGGGCAGTTGAAATCTACTAAGAAGCTGTAAGTTTTTTTTTTGTGGGGGGGGGGGATTGCAACTTGCAAGTTACCTTAAAATAAACATCAAAACAAGATCACTCAGTAAATATGTTCCACAGGTGGATGAATTTAAAGCTCATTGAAAATTCGCTTGCACGAAGAACTGATAAGAATTTCTCAATTTCAGAGGTACTTCTACCATCTGCAGTGCCGTGGTTCAATATATTCTACTGACTCTCAGAAATGTTCCTTTTTGGGTTCATATTGAATCATGCCTTATTAAACTACTGGCATATTTTTCACTCTTCCAGTTTCTTGACCAACCACTTGCTATAGCTTTGCCAATGTCAAGATATCTTCCACTTCGAAAGACATCAGATTTACTCCTTTATCGGGTCAGGCAAATTAATAGTTTTGCTTTTGACAATATATTTAAGGGGACTCAGTCTCACATTAACTGTCTCTGCAGTCAGATCTTTACAGCATAGTGGACGGCGTTATGGTTCGAAATGCTGCCAGGGCAAACTCTTGTGACCCTTCTATTCGATTGGGGCCCGAGTTTGAGAAGGTAGATTACATAGAAAACTTGACATGTATCTCTTGACAATTTTATGTTTGCTCATATCTCCTTAATAATTGCATTTAGGTTGGCGAGTTCCATAATCGCTTCAAGTCCATTCCCAACATTGTGGAGCTTGACAGCTTAGACGTGACTGGCGATGTTTATTTTGGAAGTGGAATCACTCTCAGGGTATGAAGAAAAAGAAGTTTTAGGAACACAATGCATTACATTTTGGTATCGCGATTATTATTAGGTCATTCCAGCTCTTTACACATAGCCAGTTTCCTCACAATTCATGGTTTTAGGAGCCATATGACCTTGATTGTGAAAAGGCTGATTCTTTTTATTCTGCAGATTCTCATTTCAGAATAAGCTGAATGTTGCATTTGTTTTGGGGATATTTTCAATTAGCGTCAGTATTTTGGATAATTTTTTAGTGGTGGAAATTTCATTTGAAAATGCCAAAAAATCTAACTGCTACCACAAGATAGCCTTTTCAAGATGCCGAAGCTGTTGCCAAACGGGCACTTGGATTCTGAAACGAACCCGTTGCTAATTTTGCTTACAAAATTTGATTTTTAACAACTGATTTTTACTGAATCATCCAAACAAAAAGAAAGAATGGAAGTTAAAAATGGTTCCTTTACCCAACCACTGGTTCAACGTTTGCAGGGGAAGGTCGTAATAAAAGCAGCGCCACAAACAAAGATAGTTATCCCAGACGGCACTGTTCTTGAAAACAAGGTAAGAGCGAAATTCCCACCAACACTATTGTTTTTCTCTCCTGTAACACCAAACACTAATATGAGTTTCCTGTCACCTTTGTAATAATGTTTTGTCAGGTTATCAACAGACAATCTGATGTTTTAAGTGCATCCTTGTAAATCAAGGTCTGCAAAAACATTAGTAACCCAATGAAACCGCTGCATATTTTGTCGAGTTTCCAGATTGGCATCGGCTGGTTTGGTTCTGGTGAATTCGACATTGCCATTCATGTTGAAGGGGGGTCGAGACGCAGGATTACGATGTACCAACTACAGTAATAAAAAGTGTTATTTTTTTCCTTCAATTTTTTAGTTTTGGTTTGGTTCTTCTGGGACTCCTTATTTAACATCCTCAAGATCTTCAGTGTTGGACCAGTCATATATATTGTAGCTTAGATGTAGAAAAGTTAGTGCCAAGTTTGTTAAATGGGAATCTACTACTATACCAATTCTTCAATTTCCTTTTTCTTTCACCATTCTCTAGAAAAAAATCATTTTTCTTTTTCTGATTTGAGGTCTAAAGTATTCCGTAATTGTTTTTATTTACGGAGTAAAATAAATTGTAGTCATTTATTTTTCCTTAGTTAAAGTGACGGAGTAAATTAGGGTATTTTCTGAATCAGTGTATAAACTAAGGAGTAATGCTAGAGTCACAAATAAACAGTTTACAAAATTCACAAACTTGTCTTTTTAGCACTTTCCTAAAAATAAGATGCACTCAAATAATAAAAGATATTTTAATTTAAAATCCACAAAAGACAAGTTTGTGAAGGCCCCGTTTGGTACATGGAATTCAAATTATGGAATTGGAATTGAGAACTTCAATTTCAATTTTGGTGTTTGGTAGCACAAAAATTATGTAGATTTGGAATTGATAGTGCAAAAATGAGTTGAAATTGGCAGAATTCAATTTTATGGAATTGAATCCTATGGAATCTCAATTTCAATTCCGTCAATTCCGTATACCAAACGACCCGAAGTTTGTAAACTACGGAATATAAGTTTGTGACTAGCATTTTCCTAAACTAAGACACCAATGTAATTTAAAAATAACTAATTTGTATGCCCATTGGCCATTGTGTTATGTTGTCAAAGGTGTTATTACTCTTTCCGTCTTTAATTTGATAACAAATTGGGAGTTACGAAGCAAAATCTCTCGTTTTTTAAAATTATTTTATTCCCAAATTGATAAATTAATAAGGAATAAAAATTATAAATTAAAAAATTATGTTAGATTTCTTTCCAAATAAGAGATGACACAAATATTTTATTTTATCAAATACTCAATGAGAAGACATATAAATAAAAGTTACTTCCTCCGTCCCAATTTATAGTGCCAGTTTCAGTTTACGATGTTTGACTGAAATTATTTTTAATTGATTTTACATGACAAATGGTATATAGTTAAAAAATAAAAATTACATATTAAAATACTATATCAAAAGATCTATAAAACTAGTAGTGACAATAATATTTTATTTTATCAAATTGCTAACGAAGATTGAGAAAGAAACTGAATAAAGTTTGACCATGTGAATAGACACTATAAATTGGGAGGTATTAATCAAGCATATGCCAAATCGTCTTGTTTTGTCATAATTTATTTATGTGAGCAAGATGATATGGAGTAAAACTTATTAAAGGAATCTGAATGATATGCCAATTGTGGTTATGTGTTTTATAGATGAGGCCATGAAATCACATTCATATCGCTGCCGGGAACTGAGTAATGATCAGTGGCAATGTTCTGCAAAAGATGTTTGCTTCATCCATGACCGCCTGCAACTTCCACGAGCTAGCTCAAAGAACCCATGGCTCTCTGTACACTTTAATATCCAAAGCTTTGTCTTTTTCCAAAACCCCAAGAGACGTGCGCAAAGTTCACGCCTTTATAATCATTTCCGGCCACCACCACTCTGTTTTCTTATCCGGCAAACTCATTTCCAGGTACTCGGACTTCAAAGATTCCCCCTCTTCTCTTGCTGTTTTTCGCCTGAATTCGCATACCAAAAATGTCTACTTGTGGAACACCATCATCAGGTCAATGACCCATAACGGGCGCTTCTCTCTGGCATTGGAATTTTATGCCCAGATGAGGAAATCAGGCGTTGTGCCGGATAATTACACTTTTCCTTCGGTTATTAATTCTTGCGGCAGTTTATCCGATTCTGAGATGGGAAGAATGGTTTATGATCACCTGATGGAGTTAGGTTTCCAGTCGGATTTGTACATTTGTAATGCTCTGATTGATATGTACGCAAGGATGGGTGATTTGGGGATGGCACGGAAGGTGTTTGATGATTTGCCCGGGAAAGATTTGGTTTCTCGGAATAGTCTCATATCTGCGTATAGTGCCAATGGGTATTGGGAGGAATCATTGGAAGTTTTTTATCAGGCCAGATTGGTTGGAGTTGTGCCAGATTCTTTTACTTTGTCAAATGTTCTACCGGCATGCGGGGGACTGATGAAGGTTGCAGAGGGGCAGACCGTTCATGGGTTGGTGGAGAAGGTTGGAACTAAGAAAGATGGAACGGTTAATAACGGATTGCTATCCATGTATTTTAAGTTTGATAGGCCGATGGATTGCGAGAAGCTCTTTTGTGAGATGACACATAGAGACACGGTCACATGGAACATCATGATTTGTGGGTATTCACAGTTGGGGTTGTATATCGAGTCAATCAAGAAGTTTCTAGAAATGGATTGTGAATATAATAAACCGGATTTGATGACACTAACTTCTGTTCTACGTGCTTGTGGCTATGTAGGAGACTTGAGGTTGGGGAAGCATATCCACCACGAATGCATAGTTAAGAAGGGATATGAATGTGACGTCACGGCTAACAACATCATGATCAACATGTATGCAAAATGTGGTGACTTAATGGCTTCAAGGGAAGTTTTCAACAGCATGAAATGCAGGGATTCGGTGTCGTGGAACTGTTTGATCAACGGATATGCTGAGAATGGATTCCAGAGGGAAGCAGTAGAAATTTTCAAAATGATGAAGACAGAAACACTTCCTGATTCTGCAACTTACGTGACTCTTCTATCGGTCTGTACACAATCAGCGAACATAAATTGTGCAAGAGAACTCCATTGTGACATTATCAAGAGAGGATATGAATCTAGAATTCTTCTCGGAAATTCGTTGGTGGATATGTATGCCAAATGTGGACAGATTCATGACTCTCTCAAACATTTTGGCAGCATGGACTCTAGAGACACTGTCACATGGAACACCATTATTGCAGCTTGTAGAGAGGACTGTTGCATGGGATTCGAAATGGTTAGAAAGATGAGAGCTGATGGAATCCATCCAGACATGGCCACATTTTTAGTCTCCCTCCCTCTGTGTTCCATTCTTGCTGCCAAACGAAAGGGTAAAGAACTTCACAACCAGATACTGAGGCTTGGTTTCCAACCAGATATCCCTATCGCGAATGCATTGATCGAAATGTACTCAAAAAGTGGAAGCTTGAAAGACGCGGTGACCCTGTTTGAGGGTATGAAGGAAAGAGATGTCATCACATGGACTGCGATGATCACTGCATATGGAATGTATGGCGAAGGAATGAAAGCTCTGAGAGTTTTCAACGAAATGAAGAAAACTCATGGAATCGTTCTTGATCATGTTGTATTTGTTTCCATCTTATATGCATGTAGCCATTCGGGCATGGTACAAGAAGGCCGGTCTTGCTTTGACCAGATGAAGAGAGAGTATCACATGGAGCCCAGACTTGAACACTATGCATGCATGGTTGACCTGCTGTCGCGATCCGGGCTAATACCCGAAGCAGAGGAGTTTATTCTCTCAATGCCAATACAACCAGATGCTACCATTTGGGGTGCCCTTCTCAGTGCTTGCCGGTCAAATGGGGACACCAAAACCGCGGAGCGGGCCCTACACAATCTCTCCCATATGGATTCAGATGACGCGGGCTATCATGTCCTTGCATCCAACATGTATGCTACACTGGGAAAGTGGGACCAAGTGACGAAAATACGAAAATCTATAAAGTCCAGGGGGATGAAGAAAGAACCTGGGTGCAGCTGGGTGGAGATAAACAACAGGGTTTATGTCTTCAGCGCCGGAGACAAGTCCTTCGAGCAACATGAAGAGGTCAAGAATCATTTAAGGGTACTTTACAGTTTAATGGCTAAAGAAGGGTACGTCGCGGACCTCAACTGGGTGTTACATGATGTTGACGAAGATGAGAAGGTGGACGTGCTCTGTGGGCACAGCGAACGGATAGCCATAGCCTTTGGGTTAATAAACACGAAACCGGGGACTCCTCTGCAAATAATGAAGAACCTCAGGGTCTGTGGGGATTGCCATACTGCAACCAAGTACATCTCCAAAGTGGTGAACAGAGAGATACTGGTGAGAGATGCCAACAGGTTTCACTTCTTCAAGGATGGGACATGTAGTTGCCAAGATTTGTGGTGAATTGTGCACACACAGTGGTTAGACACTTTTACCATCATGCCCTTTACAACGTCATCGGGAAGCTAATAGAGCAGATGCTAAGCGAAGAATCCCACTTTTATGGGAGGCACTTTTTCTAAAATGTAAATATGATGGAAATTAGATTCTTTTAGTCAAATAAGATTCTAATTTTTTTTGTACATAGTGAGTTGTTCTTTTAATCTTTTATAAAGGTTTTGGCAAAACGTTCCAATCAAAACACACCCATACTTGTATTCAGATATGTTATTTATCAAATGATATGCTTGAGATTCCATTTAAATTTGTCTGTGCCATCTAATTATCCATCTATTTTTTTTAAAAAAAATACTTGTATTTGTGATGATGAATTACATATACTCCGTATGTTAAATATAAGGGTAGATTGGTCATTCAATTGTAATTTAGTCATAAGTTTGCATTTGGTAGAAAACTTGGCAGATAAATATATGATATGCTAAGAAAAAAATTTGGCCTTTATATACAATAAGGCCTTTATATACACACCATTGTCCTTCCTGTTATTCTTCCCTTGCTATTGAAGAAAAAAAACATTATAAACTATATAAACCTTTCCTAATATAAAAAAGAAACACCTTTTTAGGACATATCAAGTACCAAATATGGTTGATTTTGGTACAAGAATTGAGCAAACCTAACAACAAACCCAGTATAATTCCACACACATGTACTAGGATCAAGGGAAATGAGCAAACCCACAAGCTATGTTGTAATTTTTCCATAAAGAAACCCATAAGATAACAGATATGAATAGAGCAAGACCAGAATGGGTGAACAGACTTTCATTTGAACAACAATTTAATAATTCCACAATAGTACATAAAACCAGGATTTAAAAAAAAGCTCTGCTTAGGATCTCTGTCTGTATCAAGAATTCAAATGTTGGATCTCATGTAACTACTGGAAAAAGTCCTACATTTCATCTCCCACATCATTACTACAGCTTCATGCTACAAACAAAATAAACAGTACAACAACACTCATTTAGTAATTAATGTACATGCTGGTACAGGTACCCATGCCACATTCGCCACAACAGTCTCGGCATCTCTCTCTCTCACACTCTCTACTCATCAAGATCATGACCTTAGGAACTCCCGAAGCAATCGTTCATAGAATTCAATCAACTGCCAAACCAATCAAGATGAATAAAAAAAGAAGTTCTACAATAAGTGCGGTTCAAGTTAAGCGAATCACCAGAACTGAGAATTAGTGGATAATTTTCTTACCAAGAAAGTATAATTTGCCTTCAGAAACGCCTTGTTTGCGGTCACCTCCCTCCCATCTGACCTATACACATTAATCCAAAAGCACAATCAAATTCGGGGTACAATTCCTTTTTAGTGCGGTTTGACTCAAGTGAACTATTATAGCTCAATTTAGTTACCATAAGAGGCAAGCATAAAAGGAAAAGATTCAAGAATCAAACCTCCTAACCACAAAGATTTCAAGAACATCAGGGGTATAATTGGATGAAGCTTCTTCAAATTTCAAAATGTTGACAATCTCAGCAATGCTACACCCATCTTCAAAACCTGGTTTTGCAACCAGATTACTGTCAGGAGCCATTACCGTCACATCAGGGACATCATTACAAGCGTCACCATTCGGATTCTGCTTGATGGGACCTAACTTCCTCCTTTTAGCAAGCACAGAATCTCCTGGAACTCGATCCTGCTCATGATTTTCATTGAGCTCATCCGGGAGGTGCCTTCCAGAATCAGTCTCGCTGCAAAGCTTGTCATACACATGATTCTCCGTGCTTGATTCAGGCTCATCCATTGAGCTGGCAGCCAGAGCCTTACCCTTAGCAACTGCAATGGAAAGACGCCGCCTTTGCCTTGTTTCAATATGGCTAGTACGTCTATTATTATTAGCAGCAGGAGCAGGGGGAAGAGGAAGAGGTGGAGGTGGAGGAGGAGGAGAAAAACTTTGGTTATCATTTCTATCAGTGATATAAGTAGTGTTTGTAGGGACAGAAGAGAAATTTTGCAGCTTCTTTGTTGTAATGGTGTTGGACTTTGGCTTACGCCCTTGTTTCCGGGACAGTAATCTTCAAGAAAAGAAAAAGAAATGTTTGTAATATTGAGAACGACATTCTTCCAATACAATAAAATAACTTTGCTTCACCAACAGAAAAAAAAAAGAATAACAATACTCACCTCCTTTCAAATGCAGCGATAACATCGGGGCATGTTTCTAGGTTTTCAATAGGCTCCCATGTGTTGGCGGATTCAGGCCATCCTCTCCTTTTAACACCCAAAATGAAAAAAAATAACAAGAACAATTAATCTGTCAGTACAATTAGTATATCTATTGCTCCCTCTGTCCCATAAAAATGTACGGTTTTTCTCATCGGAGACTTATTTTCCAGCTGGTTTAAATATATATGTACTGCCTCCTTCCGGATTTATTAATCAACTTTATTGTATTCGTTTATCCAAGATTAGTTATCCGACTTCCATATTCAATTACAAAAGTATGATGAATTGTCTAAAATACACCCCTACGTCCTCCTAAAAACTTCACTCTTTCCTAATATGACCATCTTTAAAAAATCACACCACACTTTATATGTTTCCTTTTAAATACATGAATGAGTGGCTCACAATCATTTTCTCTACGCTATACAAATTCTAACCATAAAGCTTTGTTTTATAAACACTTTTTTTAAACTACGCGAAAGTCAAACAAGGAAATCTATTGCGGGGCGGAGCAAGTACTAGATATAGAGTACAAGCATTGTTATGCGTGTCAAACTCATTTGAGGGGATTTTTTACACGTTTCAATCTCATTCTTTAAAAATTAGATTTTTTAGAACGTGCATAACTAAGGACCTGTTTGGGAATAACGTTAAAGATTAGCATTAGCATTTTAGATAAAATTTCAACGGTGCAGATTACTTTGAAAATGCTAAGGCTAAATGCTGCTCGTACATAGCTTTTTCAAAATGCTAATCTCTACCGCTATTCCAAAACAGGTCCTAAATTAGAGGGGAAAAAATGTTTTGAGCTCTCTATAGCCCAAAGAACAATAAGGCACTGCTTACCATTTGATCAAGTACTCGACTTTGCCCTTTTGATGTTCGGTGGAGTTCCAAAATTTTGCAATTCCCCAAAGCAAATCACAAAGAAAGCCAAACAAATCAGCACAAGAAATGTTTAAATGAAGTGAAATTAACAAAGGACAAATCTTCCCCAATTCCAATTTCTAATTATTTTTTTTAAATAAAATCATTTACCCGTCGAATTCGCTTCTTTCTAATGGCTTCCAGGTCGTAAAACCCTTCACCCAGCTGCTGTATCTGAAGGTGTCCCCCGCTCTCCCCGCTCTCGCCGCCGCCGTCCACTTCAACATCTCCGTCTCCATGCTCATCTCCTTCGTCTCCAACATCTTGCTCTCCGCCCTCCTCTGTCGCCGCCGCAGCAGCAGCTCTGCGGCTCTTTTCCGGAAGCTGGTGTCCAGAAGACGACCGAGCATCCGCCGGAGAATCTAGGAGATTCGTAGATGATGCAGCATTTTTTCCGGCGAAGAAACAACCGTGGTCGGCGGGCAGGGAGGAGTCCCCACGGAACTGTTTCATTTCCCCCCCACTCATTCCAATCTGCTTCTTCGCTTTCAGGAGGGAAAAGGGCAGAAAATGCTCTTTATTTCGGTTTCTTCATTTTTGTGCCTATTAGGTCGTTTTTGTAGTACACTTTCTACCCCTCCATCTCAAATTGAATTTCTTTACAAAATTTACGTTTTATGAAGTTTCTAAATATACTTTCTCCGATCATGTCGGCATGGTCGGAACATATGAATAGACAACTAAACATCGTTGCTGAATGAAAAGAACTTCAGATATCGTCGATCAAAAGAACATTAAAAGTTGCTAGGGGTGTATACGAATCGAATCAAAGCAAATATATCACTATTCGATTCGTATTCGATTAAAGTGATATGTATTCGAATTCGGATTCGTATATAATTCAAATTTTAAAAAACATTCGTATTCGATTCGATAGATATTTGACGTATTTGAATTCGTATTCGAATATTCGAGTTCGAAAATATTAGTAATTTTTTCTTAAAATAGATTTCTTAAAGACATTAAAATACATTAGAATATATATAAATTTATTTATAAATTATAATATTCGAATAATTCGAATAATAAACGAATCGAATCTATTAATATTTGTATTCGAATTCTAAAATAGTTCGAATCTAAAATATGATTTGTATTCGGATTCGAATTCGAATATAGCAAATACGAATCATCCTTTTCGAATATGAATCATGAATCGAATATATTTTATTTGATTTGTATGCACCCCTAAACGTTGCTGACTTAGAACATTGAATTTTGCTGATCGAGAAAGCATTGAACGTTGTTGCTAAAAATAGTGTTGAACATCATCGACTGGAAGGTACATTTCTGAAGAGAATGTCGATTGGAAGAACATATCAAAAAACAGGGGAAATGAACAAGTCTGAAAAAAATATCATTGCTACTGAAACGAGAGGCCATCGCCATACATTAAAAGTTTGTCGTGTTGCTGTTGCCCGAAAAGAAAAGGCTAAAGAGGGAAATTTAATAGAAAATTAGAGAAAACAACCAAGGTTTCAATTTTATCTTTAGATATGATCGGTAAAAATAAGATATAATAGAATAATTAATAATAAATGAAGATAATGTGATAAGTAAATTAATAATTAAGACCGAAAAAAGACTTTAGAAGAGTTACCATGATGACATTGTACCACAAAATCTTGGTGGACCATAATGTTGTATGGTACATATAGTTGTCAAAATTCAAAAGAAAAAAAGGGAGATTGTATGGGCCTTAAATAGATTTATTTAGATAGATTTCGCATTTCTGTTGTGGCCCAGCCCAAAAAAAATTAAAAATTAAATACCGCCAACTTCATTCCTAAATCGTAAAAATTTATATCATGCGTCACAATTTGATCTTAACTTCTTTGGTGCAATTACAGTCTGCAAAAGTTAATGTTCTGAATCGTAACTTGAGTTATAGCTCAAGCATTTTGTTCGATTCGAATTCAAGAATCACCAGTTGTTTCAGGGAAGGCGATGTCCTCACCGCACGCAAACTGTTCGACGAATTGCCCCTTAGAAATGTGGTGACTTGGAACTGCATGGTTTCTGGGTACATTAGGAACGGGATGGTTCAAGAAGCTCGGAAAGTATTTGATTCCATGCCGAGCAGGAATGTGGTTTCTTGGACAGCCATGTTAAGTGGGTATGCGAGGAACGGGAGGTTAGGAGAAGCTAGAATGTTGTTTGATTCTGTGGCAGACAAGAATGTTGTTTGCTGGAATTCGATGATTTCCGGGTATGTGAGCAATGGAAGAATAGAGGAGGGAAGATCATTGTTCGATACAATGCCAATTAGGAACACATCTTCTTGGACAATCATGATCGATGGGTACTTTCGATGTGGGAACCCGAGTGAAGCTGAGAGGTTGTTTAGCATAGTACCAATCAAAACCATCTCACTCTATAATGCCATGTTAGCAGGTTATGCTGAGAGGGGGAATGTTGACGATTCTCTTAGGTTGTTTGAGAAGATGGGAACCAGAGATGTGGCTTCTTGGACCAATATGATTTCTTGTTTGTTAAAAGCTGGGAAATTGGTAAAAGCTAGGAGCTTTTTCGACAAGATGCCCGAAAAGGATACAGTGGCATGGACAGCAATGATCAAGGGTCACCTGGAGAACAATCAGATACAGGAGGCTCGAGAACTGTTTACTGAAATGCCATATCGGGACATTGTGGCCTGGAACTCTATGATCAATGGCTATTCTCAAGCTGGAATGCTGCAAGAGGCCATTGATCTTTTCAGCAAGATGCCACAAAGGGATATAGTCTCATGGAACTTGATCCTATCTGCATATATAAAAAAAGGTGATCCAAACACTGCTACCAGATTTTTCAAGGAGATGCCCAAGAAAGATGTAACCTCTTGGAACACCATGATTTCTGGATTCCAAAACGAAGAAGCTCTGTTGTATTACATCAAGATGCTACGAAATGGGCTTAGGCCCAACAAGGGAACGTTTCCAAGCATAATATCGGCATGTGGGCTTCTTGCCATCCATGGTTCTGGAAGGGCGATTCACGCCAGTGTCATCAAGAATGGTCTTGAAACCAACATCATGATACTAAGCTCATTGATCTCAATGTACTCTAAGTGTGGATTTATAGAAGACGCGTCGTTTGTGTTCCAAACTATGGAAAAAAGGGATGTGGCTGCATGGAATGCCATGATTGTAGGACAGGCATGTCACGGTTCTTCCACGGAAGCTCTCAGGCTTTTTGACCTAATGGTCCAAGATGGATTTGAACCGAACCACATAACCTTCACAGGACTCCTAGGTGCCTGTGTTCATTCTGGGATGGTTCATAAAGGCTGGGAATATTTCAACTTGATGAAGAAGAGATGGAATTTGGTGCCCAAACAGGAACACTGTGTTTACATGGTTGATCTTCTAGGTAGGTCTGGTTTATTGGAAGAAGCAGTTGAGTTTGTTAAGCAACTGCCTGCCAATGTTGTCCCAAAGTACGCTCAGGAAACCATACTCAGCAGCTGCAGAGTCTATGATGATTTCAAGTTGGGCGATTTCGTGGCTAGGGAGTTTCAGAAGGATTCATCTTCTATGTCTGTTCTTTTGTCAAACACTTATGCCGCGAGGGGGATGTGGAAAAGTGTGTCGGATGCTAGAACTGTTCTAAGACAACGCCGGTTACGAAAGGAATCGGGGTGCAGTTGGATCGAAGTGAATGGGCATTTGTCTCAGTTTGTGTGCATTGACAAATCGCACCCCCAAGCAGGGGAAATCTACAAGGAAATAGAGAGCCTTTCTGTCCTCATTGAGAACTTTGGTTCGTCAAATTGGTGACAATACACTCTCAGTTTCCTTATAAACCAACCCTCAACTGTGGCATCATCATATTGTACCACAACATTTGGTGGCACCCTCTCCTCTAGCCCTGGATCCTTCCATTCCTCGCCGTGTGGTTCCCATACGCCGCCCTTCCCCTTCCCCCATCGGTGCACCCTGCACCCCCAGATTTCAAATCACGCCATAATATGCTAAAAATATCACACGAGCAAATGAACCCAGCGTGGAGTGGTTTCAAGAACCGTTAGGCTATTGAGGAAGATATATACTCTGTATTATGTATCCTTCATCTGTTTCAAGGTGCTGTTCATTCAGGTTCTTTTGACACCAAGGGCTGGTGTCTACTCCGGTCCATTTGAGGGTCCTAAGGTGATCCATTCGACCTTGAATTGGTTCCTACCCTTAACCAGCCCCCTCTCTCCCCTTGCCCCTGATGTTAGTGACTATCAACTATCAAATAAAGAGTATTTGACAATGGATTGTCACCAACATGGGCAAAGGGTAGGAACAATTTCTGGATCGAATGGAATAACACTCGAATGGACCGGTGTCATAATATGACACCAAAGGCGGGGGTCAAAAGAACCGTGGTGTTTCACAATGCACAATCACATTCTCAACAATGAAAAGAGAAGGGTTAAAAATAATAATTATATATAGAATGGGAAAAAAAAAAGAAAGAAGAGGACATCATGTGAGATCTCATTCTATGGTTGGGAGTCTTGGGATGTTTCAGGCTCCAGGGAGGTGGCCGTGGGCATGGAGCTTCGCCGGGAAATCTGGCAGTTGTGGATGCTCCTCCTCTCAGCGCACCGCTTGAAGCATGTGTAGATGTACATGACGAACCAGAAAGCCCAAGGAGACCCGATCAGCAAGAAGGCCACGTGGATGAACCATGGCTGGGATTCAGCCGGGAAGAAAGCGTACATGCAGAGGAGGATGCCGCCGGCGGTGACCAAAATGCAGAACAAGAACGAGATGAGTGGGACCCGTATGTCCCCTTGCCGCTCCTCCATTGTTACCCCACCCCCTATATCTTCTTCTTCTTCGAGTTCCCTTGCCAGAGCAATTAATGGCGCAGGGTTTGAACGGAGGTGGCTTTCTGCTCAATTCACACCGATAACAATGCAAGCCATCTTTCTTGATCTTGGTTTTATTGTCTGTGGAAGAATCAAGAATGTAAAATGATGGGGGGAATTGAAGATGGAGGGATCAAGAATGTAACAGAGAGGATTGGAAGGGATGATGATGATGATGATTGATGAAGAAAGGTTGTTGTTGTTGGAAGGAAAATGATCGATACAAGCCAGCCGGGCGGCCAGCCTGTGTCTTATGATGACCTGATTCTTCTGGTTTTATTGTTGGAATTCTTCCTAAGCTAGCTATAGTATATTATTAATTACTATATGTTGTGTTTATCACATGAAGAGGAGAAAGGGAAAGAGTATAAGGGCATTGGCCCTTTGCATGCATGTGGTGTAGCGTTGATGGATGCAGTTTTGGAATTTTTGCTTTTGTTCATTTTTTTTCTATTGGACAGTCCAAATTAATTGTACCTTTATTATTTTAGTGTTTTTTTTGCATGCATGTTGTGTTTTTTTCTATTATAAATTATACTCAGGTAAATGTTTTTCCAATTTTCCGTGTAATTTCTCCCGGTCTCCCGCCATCCCAATTTATAAATGTTACCCCGGAGTATAATTAGGATTAATTACTCTCTCAATTTAATTTATGATATAAATTTTACTTCATAAATATTATTTCTTTGATTTCAAAATGATATAAATTATGTTTATTATTCATACAATAAAATTTTATCATATTTTCAATTGATAAAATATAATTTGTATTTTTTTTCTACTCTCTTGTCCCAAAATGAACTACACTCTTCTATATTCAAAAGTTGGATAAATTTTGTTTATCTGTGTGTTTTGATTGATTACTTAATAAAATAATACTTCATCCGTTTCTGAGTATTTGTCTAGTTTTAATTTTTTTGAGTCAAATTTTTTTAACCTTTGATCTATAATTAAATAAAACATACTCCCTCCGTTTTTTAAAACACTTCCTCTTTCATTTTTTTTCACTTCCAACAAAACACTTCCACTTTCTATTAAAAAACCACTTTTACCCTTACTTTTTCATACCCTACCTATCACATCATACTTTATCTCTAATAATCTATCCATCACATCTTACTTTTACCTATCACATCAAGGGCAAAATTGGAAGTCAACTACAATTTAATACTTCCTTATTTTTACAGAAAGTCAAAATAGGAACACTTTTTCCAAACGGAGGGAGTATATTGTATATTAATTAGATAAAATAATATTTTGAAAATATTCGATATAATAACTACTCCGTATGATAAAATTATTTTTGTATCAATATCTAATACGCAGTATCATTTTATTTAATTTTAGGTCAAAGTTTACCAATTTGGACCAAACTTTTATTTTATTGTCACATATTCATTTGTAGATCTTTTGATATACTTTTTAAATATGTTAACTTTAATTTATTTTTAATTTCCATACCAATTTTAAAATAAAACAAATTTAAAAAACTTGAAAATTCATTTTGTTTTGCGTAAAGTGTAGGATTAGTGGCGGCTCCTGAAAATTCAATTCCCTTAAATAAAATTTAAAAGTTATTTGTAATGATGAAAAATGAAAAACAATTAATTTCAAAAAAATTGTCATATAAGTAAAATAAAAAGGTTTTAATCTAAAAATACGATATAAAATACGGAGTACATCATATATAACTTAATATAACTACATTAGTATTAAATTTTAAATATTTTCCTTTAATTTTTATTTAAGTATTTATTTTTTCTTTTAAGCTGGAATTTTTTTTGTTACAAGGGACATGTAATTTTTTTTACTGAGGCGCTCTTTTGATATACCTCAATTTTTTACACTATATATTAAAAAATATTGAATAGGTGCTACTGCCCCCATAACTATCAATTTAGGTCTGCATAAAATATTTTGGAACGAAGAGAATAATTAAATATAGACTAATAGACTAATAAGTTCGATATGAAATGTTCTTGGCCGTTCCAATTACCAAAATGAGAATTTTTGAGGATGTTTCTCTGTGTTCATGCATGTTTATTGGCTTATTGCTGATGTCTTAAATGACTTTCTCCGTGCTTATGACTTTTATAGAAGTAAAATGACTTAAATGATAGATAAGTCATTTTGAAATATTTATAAATAGTGAGATACAATTTTATAAATAATCTGGTCAAAACGGAAAAACGGAACAACTTTATTTAAAAATAAGTATCTACGATTTACTTATTTTATTTGGTTTATAAGCAACTTATATGCATACAGAATAATGTCATCAGCTGGTTTATAAGAACATATGCAATGGCAAGGCAAATGGTTGCCTTGCCTTGCCATTAGTGGAGTGGAAGATAATACAATGGGAGAGACAAAAATTGACTTGCATGGAATGGGGCAAGGCACCACTATATGCGTGGCTTGTGCGAGGAGAAATGAACGGAACAATGCATGCCTGATTGGACTGAATCCTTCTTTTTTCTTTATTCTTTTTTTTCGGTTTTTTGCATGCCACATCTTTAGCCAATCTTTCTTTTTTTGTTACATGTGTTTTGCCTAACTTCTTTTTCTTCTTTCCAAATCCAATTTTTTTTTAAAAAATCTAACCCTTTTTTAAACAAAAATACCCAATTCATTTTTAATTATCTATGTTGTTTTTTTCATTTCAGTCTATTTTCTTTTATAAAACAATTTAAGATGTTTCTAAAACTAAAAATACATAATTTTAAAACTAGTGTTTTAATCCTAGATTATACTCCGTACAATTTAAGTAGATAATTAAACTAATTTTTAAAAATTAATTTTTTCTCTATACAATTAAAATCTTTACAAGAAAATAAAAAATATATTTAAAAAATGAAAAATAAAACACATGAAGTAATTAAATTATGTCAAAATGATAAAATTAACAAATAAACATTACTTGCCATTGTAGAGCATGCTACTCTAATGGAATGCCACTGTGTGACTATGCATCATTTGATTAGTTATCTTGAGCCACGTCACCGTGTGGCATTCCAGCACACGACTTGCCATTGCCTGTGCTCTAAGTAAAAAATTGCTTATAAATATAGATAAACAACCACTTTATTTGAATCAAAAGAGACTATTCCCGTTGGCATAATGGCATATTCCACGTGTGCTTGTTAAATGAAGAACACATTCGTCTCACCTTTACGCATAATTCTCAACCGTACAAAATTATTTCAATGTATGTTCCAATATGCTTTAAAATTACGAGTATTGTTGTGGGAGATGTGTCTTTCTCTATTGATAATAGCTCCCTTATATAGGGAAGAGCTTCGTAGGGTTTTACAAGAGAAGGCCCACGGGCCAGTACAACTTATTACACAATATAAAGTAAATTCTATCTACACAACAGCACACTAATTTGCAAATTCCTTCAACACTCCCCCTTGTGCTGAGCTGTAGGTAGAATTGCAGAATCTTGATCTCTTGTCAAAATCCCGTCAAGTGTCAAAATCCTGTAAATAAAAATCTTGAACAAAGAAAAGAATACCGATCCTTACTTCGATCGCTATGTTCATGCATATTGTTACCTCATTAAAAACCTTACCAAGTAACAAAACCCAATGGGAAAAATAAACCTTGGTTTAAGGAAAAGAGTGTAACATAAAATAAAAGCTAGACCTTGAATATTCAAATCTCCCCCTGAAGTGTACATGATCAAGGAAGATCTGAAAGTCTACGCATCCCAATATTTTTAACATGTTTCTCAAATGTGGCTTTAGGTAATGATTTGGTGAATAAATCTGCCACGTTCTCCTCAGATCTTATTTGATTTACTTGGATTTTGAGGAGAGTTTGTTGTTGATTATAGAAAAATTTGGGAGAAATATGTTTGGTGTTATCACCTTTGATAAATCCAAGTTTCATTTGCTCGATGCAAGCAGCATTATCCTCGTAAATGCATGTGGGTTCTTCAGTGGTTGGTCTCAAACCACTAGCCCCGCGAATGTGTGTAATGATAGTTCTTAACCATATACACTCGCGAACCGCCTCATGTAGAGCTATTATCTCTGAGTGGTTTGATGAGGTGGCTACTAGAGTTTGCTTGGTTGACTTCCACGATATTGCAGTGTTACCAACTGTGAATACATAACCAGTTTGGGAACGACCCTTGTGTGGGTCAGATAAATATCCTGCATCAGCATACCCAATTAGTACATCATTTGGTGTTTCTAGATTTGAGGATGAACTTCCTTCTTCAACCATTTTCTTAGAATTCACAGCTTCCTTTGTCCTTTTGTATGGAAAGAACAGTCCCATATCACTGGTTCCCTTTAAATACCTCAAAATATTTTTGATACCGTTCCAGTGACGTTGCGTTGGCGCAGAGCTAAATCTAGCTAACAAGTTCACTGAGAATGCTATATCCGGTCGAGTACACTGAGCTAAGTACAATAATGCACCTATCGCACTTAAGTATGGAATTTCAGCTCCTAATACCTCTTCATCCTCTTCCTTTGGACGAAATGGATCCTTTTTAGGATCTAAACTTCGGCCGACCATGGGAGTGCTAGCAGTATGCGCTTTGTCCATGTTAAATCGCCTGAGTACCTTTTGGACATACGCAGACTGGTGGATTAATATCCCACCAACTCGATGTTCTAGTTCAAGGCCTAAACAAAATCGAGTTTTCCCAAGGTCTTTCATCTCAAATTCAGATTTCAAATAATTTGCAGTTTCTCTTATTTCATCAAGAGTGCCTATTATGTTCATATCATCAACATAAACGGCTACAATTGCAAATCCAGAACTTGCTTTCTTTATAAATACGCAGGGACATATTTCATCGTTCTTATATCCCTCTTTAATCAAGTAATCACTTAGGCGGGTATACCACATCCT